GGAGATGGAAGATTGAAAAAAGGGGTGGGGGTGGGGGTGGGGTAGGGTGGTTGAGCCTATTGTAGAAAGATTTCTTTTGACAGGTCAAGGTGTTATTGCCTTTTGGAGACAGGGATGGGAATCTTATGATTAAAATGTAGCCTTCTGCTCTGTAGTCGGTTGTACATGTACAGTATATAATATTTCTTTTAATATTTGTTTTAATTTAAAACCAACCCGACTTTCAGAGAATTCGGCTGATCAGGGTACACTACTGCGTCTTTCCTGAATAGTGTTATGATTACCTCCCCTTAGAGTAGACTTTTTTTCAACGAGGATGCTTGAAACAGTAGTATAATGTCAACATAATAAAGCCCAAAGAGCCCGTGGGTTCGACAAAAGCTTTAAAAATGTATACCACCCCTTCCCATCACACATCATTGAAAGACTGCAGGACACTTAAAATATACTTTATTATTATGATCATCCACTGCATTATTGTTACATGTACTCGCTTTAAGGTTTGCCTCCAATATAAAACATGCAAACTAATTACTTTTTGCATGCAAAAAAACACATCAACTCTTTCTTAGCACCTGTTATTAATTTTGATCTAAAAACCACAGCTCAAAGCTTCAATTTTTGTGTGTGTCTAGTTGGATAATATTATGTGGGCCTGTATAGCAGCTATGGGGCGCTTTGCGTGTTTTCTTCTATTTCAAAAGCATTAATTTAGTGATTATCGGTATATCATTTCGGCGGAGTTTGAGTTGGCTTTTGTTGTTGATCTTGTTTCTGACATTTCGAAGCTCGGAGTGCTTCTATGTTTTACCCGTTGGCCCTGGGATCAACAATAGTCGAATCGAAATCTTGGATGGTCTTGACGTCGATTGTGTACACGTCTGGAGAGATTAGGCTAAGTGAATTTAGACTTGTTGTTCAAAATACCGTTGGTTCAGTGCCTACAGATCGACCGAGTGCGGTGTTGTGTCTTTCGAAAAGTCACTTGAGATGATTTTTTCCCTTTTCGAAATCTGTGTAGTATATGAAGTATACCGGGTGAGATTACAGACAAGGAGCACGTGCAGTAGTCTAGATAATCTATCTAATCTATCTATCGCACTGGGTAAATGTAATTAAGCTATCTTGTATCAAATGTTCCACATCACGTCATGGATTTTGGAAATCCAGATAATTTAAGCCTCTATCGTGAGTCTTACATGGAGGAGGAGGAGGAGGAGG